CTCACATGCAGTGTAGAATTATTTTAAAAAAGTGCAAGAATACATCGCTACGTTGAACATCGTCAAGAATGTCTCTGCCCAGTGCTACACAGCAAATTAACAGTTCGTCGATTACGGTAATATTCCGTCTCTATTTTTCTCAAACACTAACCTTTTCAGATAAATTTTACTCACCGGAACATCATCGTTACTGAATCGCCTGTTTTTGCGGAAACGTAGAAAGCCTTCAGATCATGTTGTTTAGCAAATGCACAATGGGCATCAACTTGTACTTTACGTAATCGCTCCTCGTCGACTTTGTTTCCAACAAGTACAATTTGTGGTGGCTAAAATAAATTTGCTTAGCATATACTTTATGGAAAAAATTCATTACAATCGAAAACCGTTTGGAAGTTCAGTGATCTAGGGACACAGAAAAAGTGTTGCAAGAGCGATTTGGAATAAAAATAAGAGAAAAGTTTTTTTTTTTAAGTTGATCTATCACCCTAGGGTAACAAAAGAAATCTTTAGTGTTTATTTTAATTTTTCCTTCACAACGGTACATTACGCTGTAAATTGAAAACAACGTGTGAACTTTAAGAAAACACAGATGTCAGCTACTATTCGATAAATCACTGTGAGTGGTGCTATATCAAATCTCTGAAAGTCCAACTTTGCAACAATTGCAATATCACTGCCTAAGATACTACATTACAATGAGTTACATCAAAGGTTATTTGTAGATTCAAAGGTTGAAGGAGATTTGAAGTTACAACAAAAGTTCTAGGTGCCACAAGGATGTACATTAGGCCAACAATATTATAGTCTTACTGGGAGCATTTTGCTTCGTAAGATTTACAGTAAATATCAGAAAAAATTTCTCTTGAAGGGCTAGTAAAAAGACAAATTGGCCTTATGCAAAATTAAGACATGAATAAGATCGTTAAGCAAAAATGTATTTTGTTCAAGCGTTATGGCTTAAGTTAGATTTTAGGAATATAGCATTTCGGAAGGACGCAATTATACAGTATTTACAAATGTTATGAGAGCAAGGTTACGCAAAAAAAAAGTTTGTT